AAAGAAAAGGCTGAAGAACATATACATGCAAGGACACAAGAGATAAACTTATGACAAAAACACATCTTACTTAAATTCTAGCCACAAAATCCCATTCTACCCTATCAAAAGCCTTGGCCATGTCCAATTTTATAGCCATGACGAATTCTTTACCTTTTCTCTTGCAATTTAAGTAATGAATGCATTCATTAGCTACAATGAGATTGTCAAGGATTTGCCTATCCAGAACAAAAGCAGATTGAGAGGGGGAGATGCAATCAGGCAACACACACTTAGTTCTTTTAGTAATGATTTTAGAAATAAGTTTATAGATGACATTACATAAACTAATAGGCCTAAATTCTGACACAGATGTGGGGTTAGTTTTTTTAGAAATAAGAGAAATGACAGAGTGATTTAAACCTTTTGGCATCCTACCAGAAGAGAAGAAGTTTTTTACCCCCAGAATGATTTGATCTTTTAAGGTGGCCCAAGAGGATTGGAAAAATGCTGCAGTGAGTCCATCTAGTCCTGGTGCACTATTAAAGTCCATGGCCATTAGAGCTTCTTTGATTTCTTCTTCACACACTTCCTTTATCAGTGACTCATTCATTTCAGCTGTGATGGATACTGGGATTCCCTCCAAGCTGCATTTTTTAACCTGAGGGGCAGATGATTTGAAGAGATTAGCGAAGTATGATGTTATTTCAGCTAAAGTCTCATGAGTTGATTCACAAGCAGTCCCATAAGCTTTGTGCAAACTGTCTAGTGAGTTGGCTTTCCTTATATTCTATACACATGCATGGAAGAAGGCAGAGTTTTTGTCCCCTTCTTTCAACCAATTAATTCTGGCTTTCTGGCTCCAGTACAACTCTTCATTTTTGTATGCTAGATTGAGCTCAGATGTTAATTTATGCCAAGAAGCCCAGTCTTTGTTTACCCCTTCCACAGCTAAACTGTTAAGGCCCTCTTTACATCTTTCAATCTCATTTAATGAGTTGGTTTTATGGGATGCTTTTCAACCAATCAATGCTTTCCTGACATTTCTTATTCTTTCTTGAAGGCTGAACATGTCATTCCCAGTCACAGGAATTTTCCAGGCAGCTTCTACTATCTTAGCAAAGCCAGGAATGTTAGTCCACCTCTTATCAAATGTAAATCTTCTCTTGCTAATTTTAAAAGTACCAAGAGTATTCAAGATTAGCATACTGTGGTCAGAAGATGATGCATGAATGTGCTTAACTTGGCCAGTAGGGAAATTTAAATGCCAAGCAGGGGAGAGTAAGAACCTATCAAGCCTTTCTTCAATAAAGTTACTCCCTTGCCGATTGTTGGCCCAAGTGTAAGGATGACCCACAAATTTGCTATCTATAGCTCCTAGACTAGTAATAAAATTCATAAAACTAGCAAAACTACTTTCATTTCTTAAAGCCCCCCGCTTCTTGTCTTCATTAGTGAGAATATCATTAAAGTCACCACACATGCACCACATCTCACCCCAGGTTATACTGTGCCTGAGGAGAACTTCACATTGGAATTTCCTATCTGAGGCATTGGTGTTGGCATAAACAAAAACTACCCAATGTCTAACCCCTCCCTCCTGTAGACAGAATTAAATCTGAACACAAAAGTCAAAACTATGACTTCTAAAATAATAATCCTAGTGGACCAGGATACCAAAATCCCCCACTTTAGAATTAACAGGGTTAATATAAAGCCATCTATTATCAAGTTTGAGTTTTTTTACAAACAGAGGTAACAAATTTTGATTTTTTTCTTTGTGTCTGGAAGACAAGCAAAATCTGGAAGGTGAGTTTTAAGAGCCTCTTTGAATTGGGAAATTGTAGAGGGTCCTCCCAAACCTCTACAATTCCACACAAAAATTTTCATTTATGAGTTTTGGACCATTTAAGGCTGGTTTCCTCCACCTGTTCAGAGATGAGATTTTCAAAAGTTTTTTGTTTTCAATTATCAGACTGAAATTCAGAAGGTAAAGAAGTTCCTAAAGACTCTACCCTCTTTTTTTCAGAGAACTTGAATGTCCCAAGTTCTTAGAAGGAGAGTTATCAGCATCTATGGCCATAGCCACATGCTCTAAACCCTTACCAAAAGCTGGTTTTCTGCCAAAGGATTTTTTGGTCCTTTGCACAGTTCTATCTCCAATGGGAGCAGGGAGAATATTGACTTCCACAAGGTTTGATTCTAAGGGCTGAGAATCCTCAATAGCCTGAGCAGCTAGTAAAGTTTCTGCAGCTTGAGGATCTCTCTCATCACCTAGGATTCCACTACCCTCTCCCTCTACACTAACAAGTTGCCTTTTTTCTGAACTGGCTTTTTCAACTGGTGAGTCAGCTTTCAAGCTATCTTCACCAATCACACTTTTATTGGGGCTCATATTATCAGTTCTTCCCCCTTCTTCCTCACTCCCAAAACTACCTGTGTCAAGACTAGTGGAATTTTTGGGGCTGTATGGGGTGAAGTTATTTATGGCTCTAATCCAATCCCCAAATTGGCCCACATTAAGCACGTTCTTATGCACATTTTCTTGTTTTAAAGAGCAATTTTTGTCAGAATGGCCAATTTTACCACAGTAATAGCAAAAAACTTGAATATTCTCGTACCTGAAAATGATGTGGAGCTAAGCCATGATATAATTTGATACGAATTTTCAATTAAATAATTTATTCCTCCTATTTCACCAAGTAATAATTATAATGAATATTACTCCATTTAAATTCTTTTACTAATGTTTTTATTTTTTCTTCACGAATTCTTATTGTTAAAACAAACATTACTCATTTTTTTATTATCCAATCAAATTAAATAGTCATACATTACATAAGTATTTATTTTGTAAAAAAATTAATCAATCAACATCACCAAAAAAATATTCAGTTATATTTCCTCGAATGATTTAAAAATAGAATAAAACAATAAAACAAAACAAACATTTTAAACGCAAGTTAAAGTTTTATTTTAACTAATTAATCTATTTTATTTTTTTCTAAAACCAGTTAATCAGCTCAGATTGATTAATTTTCCTAGCTACGCCCCTGAGTACAACTAGGAGCTTCAAGTTGTTCCCCGCCATGAGACTATGATTAGTTTATCGATCTCGTGACTAATTTTATATTAAGTGTGGTGGCATATCTATAATGAAAAGTATTATGCTAACAAAATCCCATTAATGAATGTATAATATATTCATACGTGACATAATTCATACTTCTTACATGATTTTTGAATAAACCTTTTATTAACTGGATTGCTATTTACCGCCCCCCTATTACTAGGGCCGTCTCATGTCTATCCGTCGTAAGCTGGACAGACTCACTGCCTCCAGTGTACGTTAAGTTATTTAATTTACTTACTCGTTATTTAAAATAATATAAATATTTTTAT